CAGAAGTGGTTTGCAGGGACCGAGGTGGGGCCCGGGAGGATTGCTCTTTGGAGTTAAACCTTGCCTGATTATTTTTTTCCTAATTATTTTTTTTTAATATTCTCAGATTGTGGGTTATTTAACTGTGAAGGACATATGCATTGAGAAGATCAGCCTTGATTATTCCAGCTACGGAGACGCACAGCTCAGCGAGGGGGATTTTGGCCACGTAACCGAGATCTATGACTTCACCCCATCGCTGAAAACGGAGCACCTGATGGAAATATTCTCAGATTTCCAGTGAGTACCTCTGGGAGAGCCTGAGCACATCAGGGGCACGAAGGGAGCAGTGTTCAGGCTCGAGTGCACAGCAGAATCGGAGGAATTCTGAATTTTCATTTCACCTTCATGCCCTTATGTCCTTTGCTCTTTCTGTCCCTTAGAGGACACTTTCCTGCAGTTTATGCATGATTTACAACACGACCGGTTCTTCAGGGCTCCGTCACACACAGTTACCTATGTGCAGGGTTATTCCTCCTGCCCTGGCTGCTGTGAGGGTCTTTGGGTGCTTTGTTGGAGCTTTTTTGGTACTTTGTTCTGGTGCTTGAGGGAAATCACATGTGTACATAAGTCTTTGGTAGAAAAAAGGGCTCAGTCCTGCTGCTGGAAATAAGATTTGTTTTGTAAATATGGGAAAAGAGCCTTGTGCCTAAGGGAGCGACCAGAACAAAGTCCAGCGCTGCGTGAGGGATGAACGGTGATCGGTGCAGGGCTGAATTAGTCTCACTTCTGTCTGTGGGCACCTCTCCCCATTTTCCTCCCACTGTCCCCCTCCACGTGACGGATCAGAGGTGAACACTTCGGGTCCCTTACGTTAAAATCCATGATTTACATTTTAAATAAGCTCCTGTCTACTGTGTGCGTTTCCTCTCATGTATTTTTTTCCATTCCCTGTGAGAGTGAAACGGAGCTGAAAATTGATGGGTCTAATCTGAGCAGTCGATTGTATTTGTATTTCCTGCGCTGCAGGAAAGTCTTTGAACTCCCTGCTCCCAGACTCACATTTTCCACTGATGCTTCGTTAGATTTTCACATCGGTATCTTCACCCTAAGGCTTTGTAAACCGCTTTTATAATTCACTTGCTTTTTATTGTTGATGTCTGAGCAATCGGGTGGTGTTTGGAAGCACTACATAAATGATCAAGAACATTTTTGTGTTACAACAGTCCCTGAAGTTGAAGTTGATTTTGGCCAAGGGCTTCTTTAGAGGAACAGGAGAGTTCTTGGGGGCAGCTGATGGGGAAATTGTAGATTGTGGCCATTAGAGGGGCATATTTAATGTTTTTTATTCCTTCCTTTCCTTCTGTAAAATGGGTATAATGCTTCGAACAGCACCAGCTGCCTCTGGATAAAAACACTGAGTACTCTGACACTGGTGGCTGTGGGGTTTTATTGTGTGATGTGGGTTTTTTTTTTTTTTTTCCCATATTAATGACTTATTATTTTATTGTCTTTTCATTTTAGCGAGAGTGGTTTCAAAATCCAGTGGGTCGATGATACGCACGCCCTGGGAATCTTCTCCAGCCCCTCCACAGGTACCGTGACTCAGTTTGTGGCCGCGGTTGAGGGACCCACAGGGCTGTTGGGGTCTCTCTGCTCTCGCACCGTGACCCCGCACGGACGCGGTGCTTTGCCGTGTGTCTGTCGAGTCTCGCGCTTGTGCCAAGCTGGTGCCAAAGGTAGTTACGGTTCATCGCATCTTGCTTCCTACGTGCTTCAAGCTTGAAAGGCTTTCAGGGCTTGAGAAGCTGGAATTGCTGTGGTGGTGCGTGGAAACTCGGCTGTGCAGGACCAGCAGGTTTTTAATGGGGTTGGATAACAACCAGGCACCTTCTGTACGTGGAGCGACTCACGCTGCATTTCTAGAAATTCAGCTGGTTTGCCTTTTCAGGTTTTTTTTTTTTTTTTTTTTTTTCTCTTGTAGTTGGGCAAAATTCCTGTAAAGGTACAGTAACACCCTGGGGATCTCATGCATGTGGTGGCATGCAGGTGGGACACCGAGCCTCCTGGCAGGCTGACCTTTTGGGGACAAACACCCCAAGCTTGGGTCAGAGCCGTCCCAAGAGACGTTTCCAGCCAGCAGCGCACATCATCCAAAAGCTCATGCTCTTTTCTTGGGATTTAGTCTAATGTCAGAGCTGTCTTTTAAAAAACTGTTCATAATATTTTCTTGGGACTTTTCCTGAGTGAAGAGCGTGTGATCTACACCCGAGGTGACCAGGATGAGTTTAGCTGTTTTGTACAAGTCTTGATATAACACAGCAGCTGCTGAAGCTGAAGTTATATTATACCACGTACTGATTTTTATGATTAAAGCCACCACTATTCAGTCTACTAATTTCACCAATCTTTGTTCTTTGAAGCATCTCAAGCCCTGGGACGACGTTATCCTTCTTTAAAGATCCGACCATTGATCCACGCAACAAAGCAGTCGAAAATCAAGGCACTTCAGCGACCAAGTAAGAAAATATTTAATTTTTTTTTAAATTTCTATTAGTAGTATTTCTTGGTTTACCAGTCTTCTGTATCCTTAGCAGTCATGATGACAAGTTAAATCAGGACATATGTATTAAGGACCGGTATTTCTTTTGGTTTTTATGGCTTTTTTGGCATTGCAGGCCAGCGAGCTGGTGTGTAGGGTTTGTAATAAAAGCCCACAGAGGCATTTTTTTGACAATATTTTTCAGCCAACCTGTGTCATAGTCACTTTAAACCTTCCTGCATCAGTCATGCTGGTTTCTGCCTGTTTGCAAGGCTGAATTATATTCTTCTTACAGGAGAGAGAACTACAGCTGTTACCTATTTCTCAGTCATTCTCTCCCTTCTGCATGAATAAAAATAACATCACATCCTGTTGGGTTTTGTTTACTCTCCAGCTCAGTGGTTTGCTGAAATTCAGGCTTAGGCTTTGTGCTGCTCTTGGGTAAAGTTTTGAGCCAACAGTTGTGTTGTAGCAGCGATGGCAGGAGGACAAAGCACAGCAACTGCCAAAGCTGCCCCCAAAAAGTTTCTCTGCCCTATTCCTCATAAGAGATGAGACAAAACCCATAGCAGTTACGTTTTGTGGTTGGCAAAATTTTATTCAGTATCAGGTGAAGGAAGAAATGGTTAAGCTTAGCCATTAACATTGTTTTATTTCTTTTATTGCCTTTTAAAATCATACTGTAATCAGTTATACTTGCCACAGTACAGAAATGCCAGGAATCGTGTAGCCGGAGAGACTCTGCTGAAGGTACAACTATACTGTCATTGCTACAGTCCATTGCAGCTGAAACAAATTCCAGGATTCACGCTGGAACGGGACACTGTCACAGGGAGAAATTCCTCAGTTTTTAAGACCGCTAGATTTCAATGAAATGTCAAATAACTGGATTTGGGTTTGCATTCCACTCCATCTCCACGCTCCCTTCCCGATTCTCACTGCTGGGCTTAATTCTGAACCAGGTTGCAAACCCCTCCTGGGGAATGTGTTTTGTAACCTCTGATTTTTTTCCCCAAATACAAATTTGGATCTTAATTAGCTGACAGTGTCTCTTCTTCTTTTTTTTTTTTTTTTTTTTTTTGAGCTTTGTCAAGAAAGAGTGGCAGTTTTCTTTTCCAAGCTCTGTGTCTGCCCCTTTTTCTTCAAGCTGCTGCTGGGCTGCCTTTATTAATAAAACTTCTGAAAAAGCAAGCAAAGCCCCCATTGCTAACTGGATAATAAATTTGCAAATAGTTGCTGATAAAATGATTAGATAATTGCCAAATCCAGCCTATTCTGGACTTGGTAAAGTTTTGGTGTGTTAATTTCTTGTAAAATGAGACTGTAGCAAGCCAGAAAATGGAGGTTACTGGCCAAAGGGTTTTCCCAAAGCATCTGATAGATTTAGCTATTTTTTTTTAAAAAAAAATGCAGATTTTTTTTTTTCCTTGCTGCTTTCTAAGGATTTAGACTAGACGAGTCTAAATTGAGATCAAACTTTCCTGTGCATGGATAAATTGGACTGCGTGCCTTCGTTTTGTTCTCAGAGATGCGACTTGCTGAATTTTGCCAGGAATGGTTATGAAACTGTTCCTGAAAGCAAATGGGGAACAATTCTCTCTCCTACTGCAGAAGAGGCCTGGAGCTTAATCACAGCCAAATAGCTTTTGAACTGTCACGGAAAAGCCTTAAGTACATCTTAGGGCACATATTTCTAAAAGAAAAAAAAAAAAGGCAATTTACTGGATAGGGATAAAGTGATTTGCTCCTGGGCTAATTCTGTAAAGGAACGAAGAAAACAGAAATCAGCCCTTCTGTCTGCCAGTCCTGTGGTTCAGCCACGAAGACTGTTCCTGAACAAGCGCTAACTTAATGATTTTCCCCCATTTTTCCCTAGAGCTCCTTCACCTCTCAAAAGAAAGACCCCAGACCGACACGGCCGTGGCGAAGAGGCTGGTGACCCGGGCGCTGGGTTTGAAGCACAAGCAGCAAGGCGGCTCGGTCCCCGAAGGGCTCCTGCCAGAAACCTTGGACCAGGAGGAATAAAACCATCTCAGCTAAAAAAAAAAAAAAAAGATGTATAGATGAGCATGGCTGTGATATTAAACTGCATGCGGAACAGTGAGTCGCCACAGGGATGTTCTCTTATGGATTAGGTCTTTTCTTTCTAAAGTTGGGAAGGGTAAAAAGTTGATGGTTAATCAGATACTGAGCTCAAGAGCCAAGCCCTCCGAGGGTTGCTGTTAGCTCTTTGCTACGGAGAGCATCTTGCCCTACTTTTGTTTCTGTTACTCACTGGGCACTTGCAGAAAGTAAAGCTGTTTAGAGAAGCCTGCTCTATAAATTAAAAAAAAAAAAAAATGCATTGGAGAAGGGAATTCTATCTTGTTGGCAAAAATTCAGCTGTAAGCAAGAGCAGAGCATCTGCAGGAGTCAAAAAAAAAAAAAAAACCCAAACTGTTGAATGTTTACTTTGTTGTAATGTTATTGTTCAAATATCCCACAAAACTGACAAGCATTGAATGCAAAAAATGAGTTTGAGGGTTTTTCCTTATTTACATCAGAGATTTTAAAGAGCCTGATTTGTTCTGTTGCACTCTGAGCAAAGAAAGTTCTCATCCACTGATGAGGAAAAGAAAACCAGAACTTGCCTGTGTTGGTTTGCCCAGAGCCTGGTGTTACGAGATGCTGCAAAAACCTCGTTGTGGCAGCAGCACCAGAGCATCCAACTCTGCTTTTGCTCCAGCCTGGCATCTTGAGAACAAAATGGAGTTTTCCAACTGACAGTAGGCTAAAAACCTTTGCTGGATGCCACCCTCTGGGCCACTGGATAAATGACAGAAATACTCTGACAGGCATTAGCAAAAGACTTCTGCATTTTTTCAGCCTCACAACATCCCTGTGAGGTAGGTTATGGAGAGCACACGGTGGGTACAGCCCGTTTCAGTCCCCCTGCGGATGGAAAAGCTCAGCTGGAGGTGTTCCCTTAACTTCAGCTGCTTCCAGAAGTCTTCCATACAGAGGGAGAAAAAACTTCTGTACCAAGAATTGTGAACAAAGCCCTAACCTGTCCTAGACTAGACATACACAAATGGCATAGAAAACATTTTTCTGGGTAAAACATTTTTTTTTTTATTCAAGTAGCTGTGTCTGAAAAATCTGTAGCAATGCGTGTCCTCAAACAAACAGAGGAGCACGCCGAGCACCATTATGAATTTTACCAAGTGTAAAAATCCTTTTAAAGACAACTTACACAGGTGGGTCTGTGACAGCACAGGTCCGGATCCCTGATGATGAAAGCCATGAAGTGACCTCTGTAAGGTACAGTGACGAAACAAAGCCTTAACTAAATTCATCCTTTAAAGACAAGACAGAGTGACTATCCAGCTTGGAAGGGTAATACCTAGAGACACGTAGAATCTGTTGGGTGAATAGCTTACTGTGTAATGGAAAGTCACAGTCCAGTGGGCTCATCATCAGGAGATCTGCTGAGTCTTCTTCTGGGTGTTAGGATGGAGGTGTAGCGTCGTGGAGCCCCGATGCACTTGGAGAAAAGAGTTCTGCATTAGCTGCTCCGCTTTACGAGATTGTGCTGGGAGTTGACTGTTGAATACAAGAGTTTCACTGCAGTATTAAATTCTGCTTTATACTGTTCTGCTCAGAAAAAGCTGCTCCAATTTATTTTTTTCTTCTCTTTCCTGTATTTCTTTGCTAAAACGGAGTAATCCCATGGCAGCACTGAGGATTAGCTGGGTTCGAGAAGCAGCGTCACAAATGGAGGCGTTTGCATCAATGGTGCGTTCAAGCTTGAGTCAAAGAGCTTAAAGATACCAAGATTAATGCCTTGAAGAAAATGAATGGTAAAAAAAAAAAAACATATTTAGGTTGTTGGTACCCAAACAAAAAGGCAAATTGTGCTTGCTGCAGCCTGGACCTACATCTGTGAATAAAGACGGTGCTGCAAGGTGCAGGAAATCTTTACGGAGAAGGTTGGGATGGTGAAGATACCGAGCCAAGTAGAGTTTAAAAGCCTGCTCCTAACTACTGCAGTAGTAGGGAGCGGAGTTACAAGAGCCACATGGTGGTCTGAGCACCTACAACGGGAAGGAAGGCACCTTTAGAAAATAATTTACCTTGCTAATTTAGAGTTTGATTGTTTGCTTGATTTTCTTTTTTTTTTTTTTGTGTGCAGTGGTTAGGGAAAATCACCGAAGAAGGAAACCTCGCTTCTTTAAATAGTGGGGTGGGAGGCGATGCTGTTCTATCGGGTGGACACCTTGTTATTTGTGAGTCCGCTGAAGTGATCAAACTTCTGTTCCGTCTCGTCGCTGAAAGAGCCACCTGGGGAGCGCACAGACAGAGCACAGGGGTGAGCAGCAGGCAAGGCAGAGGCATCTGCAAAAACGCTGTGAAAAGGGCTCAAAGACTTTCCTGGGTTTTAATTTATTAATGTAAGCATTAAATCTTCCAGAACTGGAACAGCCAAGAGTCCCCAGGAGTAGTGGATCTAGTCTTTGGATGGCTAGATGACAGCCTACCCTCAATTTCACTAACCCTTGTTGCTTAAAAAAATTAGGTGGTGACTAGCAGGGACCTGTGAAATGGTCTCCTCCCCGAGGCTGATGGTGAGTTAAGTTCTGTTTAATCCTCTTAAAAAGGACCATGCCCTTACGTTTTGCTAGTTGAGAGACGATAAATACATTTATCTTTAAATAGAAATATTTTCAAGCTCAGCTGGAGAGCCTGAGCTCTCTGAAGAGGTCAGTCCCAGGTTGGTAATAATTTGAGCCTGGGAAGAAGTTGCAGTTGCTTGCCCGGACCTAGTCGGGCACTCTAAACAAGTTCTTGGGTTGCACGAGAGCTTTCCTTACATCTGACAGTCTGGGGAGGGAAAAATGCTCATTTACGGCAAATAGCACCAGGGTGCGGTTTGGGCTCGGGATCTCATCTTTGCAAGCACGTACAAAGCAATAAACAGTAAACCTGCTCCTGCGGGACTCCCTCACCTATGTGGCAGTTGTACATCCAGATGCGCTGCCCATCGTACCGGCTCCTGCATTTCATCACGTTATTTGAATAATCCGATTCAGCCACTTCGTAGTTTGGGTTGATGACAACCTGGGGAGTGATGGAGAAACACGACATAAAGTTACCCAGAGGTGGACAGGGTATGATACTGGTCAGAGTGAGACCTAATCTGGTTTTTCATTACACCATATACTTCATTTTTTTCTGTTTTAAAAAAAACCCAACTCATTTTGCAAGGAGGCAAAAACTCCTTGATTAAAGCCAGATCAGGATCCCACTTTTCTAGTTTAAGGGGCTGTTTTTAGAACCAAAAAACTCCCCCTACTCCCCCACCTCGCACCAGACTGTAGGCACAGCCCGAACTCCTGCAAACCCCACGAGACCAGCGCCGGTTCATCCCCAAACGAAGCAAGCATTGCTTACCAACAGCTCAAAACCTTAGCACAAGGCAACAGCAGGATGCTGTGTGTGTATAATGGGACACGGCGTCTTAACATCAGCCGCGCGTAGGACTGTCAACTATTGGGATGTAAGACTCTAAGATGGGGTTATTGGCCTGAATTTTTCACTCGGGGCAGCGTGTAAGCTGGGAACACACTGTTGTCCTGTTAGATGTGGGTATCCAGGGAATATCATCTCTTTGTGATCAGAAATTCAGAGCACAAATAACGCAGTTTGTTACTGACATCCCTAACGGATCAGATCAAAGCAAAGCCGTGTCTCCAGCCCTACTCTTTCTCCCGTACCTGGAAGAGGTAATCGCCCGGCGGGACGTCGGTGATATCGATCCACTGGCAGTCGATGTCGTGACGGTACACGTCCCAGCAGCCAACCGTGATTCCCTGCTCGCCAAAATTGGCGCATTCGTACTGTTTTTGCACATCTGCAGGAGAAGAGGCACAAAGGGTTAGATTCACATCTGGGCAGGGAATTTCCCACCTTCGGACGCATCAGAGCTGTTCTCCAGCGACAGCCACGCGCTCCAGGCACAGCGTTTTGGAGGAGATTTAACACAAGAGGGTCTTGCTCAATGGCTTGAAACACTTGGACTGTTTAACTGCGCGGGAGGAGCTGCTGCCTTCCACACCCCATCATCACCCAGAGGCATACTTTGGAATTTCTCACTTTACAGGAGTCGGAAAAGGCACGCTTCGGTTTTCGGAGGAGCTCAGAGGAAGGACGTAAGGAGCTGAAGTCTGAAACCTCAACACTCGGGACCTTCAGGGACTATCTATAGAGACCGCTCCATCCATCCATAACCTCAGGACCCTGGCAGGATCTTTACAGCCACCCACCTGTATGGGGAGAGGAATAAATTCCCAGCACAAAGGGCTCTGGCAAACAAACCTGCTTCGCACTCGGTGTCCTCCAGGCAGAAGCTGGCTTTGTGTCCTTCAGCCACCTTGGTTCCGTTGAGGTT